CTGCATTCCTCCATCAAATGTTTGGCTGCATCATCGATCGATTCAAATCCCAGTTGCTTGGCAAAAGCCATATGTTCCTTATGATTACCAAATATGAAATATGCTGCATGTGCGAGCTCGCGCAAGTGTTTAAAGTTTTCTTTTATAATATACTCAGCGTTTAAATTAATTGCTAAACGGCGCCGCTCTCGGATATAATTCTTCACAATGAAGTCACAGACTTCTTGGCGTTGCGGTACGAAGAAACCTTCCACGTAGAGTATCTGTTTTCGTTCGATGGGACGGAGGAAGACCTGTGTCTCATCACGTTCAGCCTTTTTAAGATGATCGACGGATAGCTTAGCAGACGCACCAATATTGGCGTATAACGCTTTTGCCTTGGTGTCTTTATTGACAATGCAAACACACTGGCCGGTGGGCACGTCACTGACCGTGGCGAATCTGGGAAAGAGTTTGGTGAATTTTAATGTGTTAAGTTAATATTTTACGTTATAATATACAGTTAATTCAATAAACTAATATACGAATATAAAGAACGCTATTGTTTGCGAATTCTCACGCTTCCGGTAATTGCCTAGTTAAATAAATATGAAAATCGTGACTTTGATGGGAACTTAAGTGGCAACCATGTAGGTTATCTATTCATTTTTTGAAGTTAAATCCCGCTTACTGCCCATTTAAATGTGGAAATATACAAGTTATGCGGTTTCACAAATGGAAAAGGCGTCTACACCAACAAACGAATGGAAAAAGGAATGTTAATATTAAACAATATTTAATATATATATATTTCTTAAAAAGCTCAGATGAAATGTTTAGCCTAAGACACGTACGATTGGTGTATTTGCAAGCATTTTTCTATAAACTTAAAAATATGTACCTAAATTCTACGAGCAAACTTTTAAATTTGGAGTTCGTTACTTTTTGCAACCAAGGGATTACTTTAAGTAAACGTAAGACATAGAATGAGCGCAAATCTAATTTAATGCATTTCCATTCTAGAATTTGTATTTGTATAAGTATTTATGTATATTGAAATTTATGACTACTCTGAGTTAAACAATTCTTTATAATATTATTATCAACTAAACGTTCCCGGATTTTCTGAGAGAATAAATGGTGTAGCATTTTTGCGTCTTGTTGCTTTTTATATACTTTCCTAAATAATGTGAACAGATAAGTATATACATACATACATATGTACATATGTAAAACAAACAACTGAGATTAAGATAATTTTCACATGTACCTTGATATTAAAGTGCACATACAGTAATGAACAGTCGTATAAATGTATTCATAAATATGAAACAAGAATCCGCTAGGGATTAAAAAGTCGTGAGTCAATGACACATGCAACAGAGTTAATTTGAGAAGTACAACGGTATTTGAAACCATTACCAATGCATGGAACAAAGAAGACATGATAATGGCACTACGAAACGTGCAGTAGTTTAAAGGGCTCACATTAGTGGGCGGTCAAGTGTAATAAAAAAAAAAATGCCATCAATGTATTAAAAATTGGGGTCTGTTACCAAAAAAAACTCTACTATCCAGAGCGTTATTTGAATGCAGTGGAATGTGCAAGTAAATGAAATTTTAGTCATGGCAAACAAAAACTTTTTGAACAAATGGCGGAAATGCAAGACATGATCTGAACCCTTTGTAAGGCATTTTTACCTATTTACCGAGGCGTGACTTGAATTACCACACGCCACGCTGCAGAGCGTGACTATTCAAATTCGGGGTCTCATTTTAGTTGTACGTGCCCGCACAGTAGATGCAACTAGAATTTGTGCGTAGCTATGATGGTGTTAATATTTTTTAGTGGAAAGTACGCAATTTGCGATATGTACGCGAACAAAATTGGTTGATAGCGCCTTTTTAATGACGCATAGTATATACATATATGCATACATAAATATCTATATACATATGTATGTATTTTTTTTTTTATTTTATTTTTTACGGTCTTATTGACCTAGCTTACATTCTTCTATTCCTCTATGAGATCATTATCATTATGAGATCATTATCTAATAGGTAGTGTTTTGCAGTAATTATACAATAATTTCTTAAATTTATTAATATTTTGGCATTGTTTTATTTCACATGGTAACTCGTTGTATTCTTTCAATCCCTCGTAGTATATATTTTTCTTGTCGAATTCCGATCGTACAGCTGGCAAACGAAAGTTGTTCCTGTTTCTTGTCTGGTAATCATGTACCTGGTTGTTATAAATCATTCGATCGTTCAGATATTTCGGCAGGTTTCCTATTTTTATGTTGTGTATGAATTTTAACGTATAGTAAACAATGAGTTGTTTTACACTTAGCCAATTTAGGCTTTCAAGCATTTCATGTATTGGGGTATCATAGCGTTTTTTAAGGATAAACCGCATTGCTTTATTTTGTTTCACCTGCAGTTTTGAAATGTTTGAGTCAGCTAACGTGAATAAAATAGTAGGGCAATATATGAAATGGGGTTCTATAATGGCCCTATATACCATTATTTTATAATATTTGTTCACATGCCTACACGTTCGAAACATAAATCCAATTTTTTTTGATATTTTCGCTTCTGTATATTTAAGATGCACATACATATTTGTGAATATAGTTTGAACAAATGTATGTAGTAAGTAAATACATTTGAAAGTACATAATAGCCCTTAGTCACGCACACTTTTTGTATGCCAACTGGGAATTCCTACATTCTCACCTTACTTCAACTTCACGTTCCTGTAAAATCTCTTTCAACTTCTCTGCCGCTTTATCTTCACCAACAGCACCAATGAAAAGCGCATCTGTGCCGAGTTGTTTGAGTATACGCACTGTGTTCAAAGCGGAACCGCCGGGATTCACTTCACATTGTACACTATGCACCAATACATTCAAAAATATAAACAATTGCAAATATAAAATATGTCAATATTAACAACCAGCTGATCAATTGGCTAATTGCACACTTACCGCTCGGCAGCCTCAGCTGCTAACTTGGATAAAGTTTCTGCATCTAACTCGCCTTTCGATTCTGCCGGTATTTGAAAGCGTTCCAATAAATCTGTTTCGTCATTCTGAAGCTGCGCGGTGTGATCTAGCAGCACGTTACCAAAAGCAACAACTTTGCGTGGTCTAGTTGTGCGGGGGATGTTAGAAAACGTCAAACAAGCGGAAACAGCATCATTTCACATTAATTACGAAACACTAGTATTATAAAATATGTATATTTACGTATTTGCACAGCTATTATCGCCGTAAACATATCCGGAGACTTTTGTGTAAAGCTCTTGCAGGTATTCCATGGTGCGATTGAAGAAAATCATTAAGGCACAAACTCCCGACTGCTGTAACACAAAAACCCAAACGCGAATATTCTGTTAAATCAATAAAAGTGACTTGAATTTTGTATCGGATGAAGGTAATTGACTACTTTTCAAGTGCACCAACAAACTCGTCAACAGTAGGCTTTCGACTGAATCCGTAGCTACCACAAGATTGAAGGTTGGCTCGGTCGGCCCGCGCCGCCGCAAAGCTCCGACGAACATGGCATGAATCTAGCTTATTGTGAGATGTATTTATTTCCATTTGCTTTTGCACCATTTCGTTGATTCCTCTATAACTTGCTTTGGTCATAATTTATTAAAGTGGGAAGCCGGTGCTCTCACAACTGCGTTATTGTTCGCAACTTCTTTATATCTTGTTGGGAGAAAAGACTTATTTTTGGTAAATTTTTTCGTATTTTTGTTATTTTTGCTCTTGGCCAGGGTTGCCAAACATTGGAACGTGTCAAAAGCTGCTATTCAATTGCTTGTTTGATATGGAAAAAGGTTTCACAAGCAAATAGATTTCAACAATCTAGAATTTTTGTGAAAAGAAATTAAAAATATACGCCATTTTCGAGACCAAATAATTTGAAAATAAAATGAATATTTTTACGCTTTAACCAAACCTATAAAAATCAAGGATTCAAGCTAAATACTGCATATAGAAATATTCAAAAAAATTTATATATTTCGAACTTTTTACTCTGAATTTTTTGAATAATTTATGGTATGAAGTTGTATAGCCTATAATATTTGATTTTATTTTTTTTTTTTATTGTTTGCATTCAGTCTTTTTGGTTTTTTCTCCATTTAATTATTGCCAATTATTGATTTAATTTGCAAACAATCATAGTGCTTAGTTACACTTTTCTTTTTATTTAAAAAATGATTTAAAATATTTAGGAAATCAAAAGTTCCCAGAAATTCCAGTAAAATGAGTTTTGAATGGAGGACGTTATGTTCGCCTTCCATCGATATACATTTGTATGTATGTAGTTATATAAAAAGGATTTATTAAAGCGTTCAAAATTTAATAAGAAAGTAGACTAAACTTTTGGAAAGAGATTTATAGTATAAAGATATCTGCGAAAAATAAAACAGAAACGAAAAGGTTTATTTGTTTTTCAAAAAAAATAATAAATGAGAAAAAATTTACATATTTACCAACCCAAATTTTTTCAACCATGTTTGGTAACAATTTACGGAAGTGGCATCCCTGCTCTTGGCTACAGTAACAATGCTGTATATCTTACAGGAAAGGCCGGAATAAGAAGCGCTGTGCACAAAAAAGTCCCCTTAGTCATTATTCAAAATAGTTTTAACCAACGGAAATTGTGTAATGGTTTAATCTGTAATGGTTTTCTTTTGTTTTTAAACAGTTTAGTTACTTACAGGTGATAGTTGTAAGTCGTTGTTTAATTATATATTGATGATATAATTTCTCGTCGAATTGTGTTTTTCTAATCACCTTATCGATAACCATGATTCATGAAAAATAACAGCACTTTTCCGTTCACAGCTGACTGCTTCCTGGTTTTTGTTTACATGTGCCTCAAAACTGTTAAATTTTCAACAAACTATCGAGTACAGAGTGCAATACCGAATTCAACATGTATTTGTTCCTCGTCGTTGCTTGTTAATAAAATTAATAATTATTACTGACTCAAAATATATATTTATTATTAAACTTAACGGTGGAGTTGCTAACAGTACTTCAAAAATTCTATTTGAAACATATGTATTATCTGGACTAAACGAGGGCCTGTGCCTCGAGTGAATGTCGGCATCTAATTGCAAGAAACTGGAGCTAGTATAACCATTGGATTCATATCAGCACGGGCTTCACGAGGATCTACATAAGGTAAATATACTTTCAAATATAATAATTCAAATGTACTACAAAATGTAAGACTCATCGTAAATGAAAATACACTTGTGGGTTTTTGGTTACAGGGAACCATGATTCAATCATTATGTTATTGAATCATGATTGGGAACAACCAAGACAAATTAATTCAATATTCGTTTCATGATTCAGTTAAATTAAAAATGTTTTCGCATAACAAAACTTCAAACGTAACAGTATCAAAATTCAAAGGTACAAAATTAATTAAGAATGCAAATGCGAGTTGAAAATGAGAGGCAGCCTTTAAAGAAGTAGGTGCGTTTAAGATAGCTTATTCTAGAAGTTGCGATATTGTGCACGTAAACGGAACACTTCCGCATACATGCCAGCCTGGAAACGATCCTTCACTTCTATCGGCAGATCTCGTATTAAATTCGCTATATTCTTTACAAATAATTCTTCGATTGTATTGTCTGTGTCGCCACTAACCGGTGTACTGCTTTTAGTACTAACGCTTTTGTTTTGCAGTTTTTCTGATTTATCGTAATCGCCTAAATCTGCGTCCGTTGCACGTTCAATTTTCAATGGCGCTAAATCGAACTTTGACGTTTTGTTCAGAATTTCACAAGAATTTGAATAACTTGAATGTGACGAGCAGGAGTCCTCTTCGGCTATGGCATTTACGTTTATAAATACTTCATTCATTGCAGGCTCTTCTGAGCTGGAGCGTACGCACTTACCAAGTCTTGAACTACAAGCAAATTGTATAACATGTATAATAGTAGTACAAGTATTTACACACAACTTTAGTTGCAAAGAGGCAAAAGCTTACCGTCGCGGTACAATAGATTCCTTTAAAAATAGCATTTCCTTATAGTATTCCCATTCATGCGCATTAAACGGGTCTGTGTCAGACGAAAAATAACCATCAGCTCTCTTCATTTGCTTACAGAATCTTTCTCGTAACAACTTCCAGCGCGCTTTGCAGTCACTTCCTGCGGGAACAAATTACTTTGGACTGGCTATATACATACTACTGCTATAACGATTCTCACTTCAATTATATGTATTTTACCTGGCCTGCCCGTAGCTGCGCCCACTTCTTGCCAGGCTTCATTACGTTTAACTCTGTTGTAATAATGTAGGTGTGTTTTCGCATATAAACACGGGCGATCGCGAACAGCATATATTAATTTAAAATAAAATTCGCTTTCGATTTTATGAGCCATTTTTTAAATATGTTGCTTAAGAAATTTGCTTATGCAAAATGTCAAAGTCTATCGTTAACGTTTGCTGTCAACTTTTGCCTGGAACTTAAGTAAGTCAGAGATGTGCATCAAGCAAAGCGAAAAATCGATGTATTTTGTAAATTTTTTTATGATCGGTTGTGACATTTAATAACGAAAAGTCATTATTTAAGCACAACACGCTTCTTTATTTTGGTTTTTTAATTTTCGGCACTGTAATTGTTAAAAACATTGTATAATTTTACTATAAGTAAATATTGTGAAAATTATATGTCATGACCAGGGAACGGATTTTTAGGACCTAAAAACCTATAAAAAAGGCAATATAAAATAACGAAATAGGCTGGAAAAGGTAAAATAAAATAGCGAAAAAGGAGGGAAAAGGCTCTAGGTATTGCAAAAGAGGCAAAAAAAATAGCGAAAAAGGCAGGAAAAGGCACTAGGTATTGCAAAAAAAGCAAAATAACAATCAAAAAATACATTTATTTTAGAAATGTGTATATTACAAGTAAAAAGAGAAAAAATATGAATTAGTTTCATTATATGAAAAATTTGTACTTTGAATCTTTGACTATTTTATCCTTTCGAGTTTCTAACTCATAAAACTTTAATCTGTATAGTTGTAGTAACATTAAACCACAAGATGCATTTTGACGTTTTCTGGCAGCATTTTCATTTGATTTTCGCGAAGAAAAGCCTTGAATGTACTAAATGTGCGCTCGACGTAAGTTGATACAAGTGGAGCCCAATTTAAATATGGAACGTTTGAAACGTTCATATTATCAGGAATAAGGGCGTTTTCCTCGCCCTTTACAATTTTATCCACACCCCTTATTGTCTCCAAGCCTACGTTAGCTGAGAAAGCTGCTTTGAATTTTTCCACACCAACTTGGCAAGAGGTCCCTGCGCTTCTATAAGTCGCATGGGCATGTGTATATTTTTTATCTCTAAAAAATATTGTAAATGCCATAATCACTTTTTTAGAGGTAGAAAAGGCAAAAAAGGCAAATATCTTAAAAAAGGCAAGTATCTTAAAAAAGGCAAAAAAGGCAACATCAAATGTGTATATATGGAATCAGGGAAAGCTAAATCGTGGACATTCTTAATCGAATATACTCTATCTCTTTAGCAGAAAAAAAGGCAATTTCCATAAAATCCGTTCCCTGGTCATGACACACATCACTAAATCTTTCCAGTGTGTTATTTGTTAACTTTCGTGTTTTGCGGGTAGTTCGAGTGGCACTGGCTGCCTTGCTTGCAGTGTTCATAAAACAGCAACAAAAAAGCTTCAAAAAAGTGCAACAAATTTTCACCTAAATTTCGAACTTTATTCTCGGCAGTGTTTGAATTTTTCTGAATACACAGTTTTATAGCCCAATCAATTATAGTCTGACAATGTGCAAGTTTCAAGTGACTGAAAGTTACCGGCGATTTTTTAGAATTTTTTCCGCCAAAGGTGTTGCGGTTTTCATCCATATACAAATAAATTGAGTTTATTCATTATATGAAAGCCAATGCGACAAAAAAGATTCTAAAAAATGAACGGTTATTCGTAGCCACAGCACATTATCAGACTAAAATTGCAGTGGCTAAAAAACTGTGTACTCAAAAAAATTCGAACACTTCCGAGAAAAAAGTTTGAAACTTAGGTGAACATTTGTTGCCATTTTTGGAAGTTTTCTACAAATTATTAAACTTGGGTTTATATGGGGTTTGTTAGAGAAAGAACTGTATTTTAATTGAAAATTCTAAAAAATAAATAAATAAGTATAAGTGGCACACTATATCACTTTGAAATGGCGTGCTATAGATATGACCGATACTGTACGTGCATATATAAATTCCAACATGCATTCAATAGCAGCAGCTGTAGCTAAATTTTGTTAATTTTTCGTTTTCTAATTATTTTCAATTTCTGTATAAACAAGTTTAGATATAAATTTCAAATATTTATTGTTTTTATATTGGCACAAGGTGCTGGCTCATAACTTGGATCATATATGAATCCTAAAAGATTCATATCGGAATACAATTTTTGTTTGTTTTTGAAACTCATATTTCTTACCTACCTAGGGCTCCTTTCGGACTCATACATATATTCTGAGCGCTCAGAATATGTTTGCGGGGAATGTGTATTTAACAAAGTGGTGTTGGCCGTATAAAAATTACACTAACAAATTATACGCAGATACTGTCATTGGTATAAGTTACAACAAACACATAATTTTGACGAAATGCCCCCCCACGGCGATAAACTCTGATGTCGCCCCAACACCACCTTGTTACATACACCTTGGATACAAGTGAGAAAAAAATCTTTGAAGTGTACAAGTTTTATTTAAATCGTCGACCTTTTT